TGTCTTTCCCTAAATTGTACACAAATCCAGACCATTAAAAGTTTACCATCCTTCCACTCACTAGTTCTGAAATTTCTACTAATAAGCAAGTACTAAATACTGACCAGAATAGGTTTATATCCTCTAAGGATGAATAAAGCAACAGCCACATAAGCAAAGTTTAAGAGGCTTCCTACTGAACTGGACAAAAGCTTTGTAATACTGAGATTCAACATTTATGTATTTGAAACGTGTATTTTCTAACACTTTGTAGAATTAAAATGTTTCCTTCTCCACCATGGAATAGAGATATGTATTTTATAGACTGAGATATTCATGTTACAGAAGACATCTGTGCTCCAATGTAACTACACTCACCAGAGTGGAATTACTCAATTTTCACTGGTGTACGGAATCTACTCAAGGCATGAAGAGTGGAAATTGCATGAGGCAACATCCAGCACTTCCAAAGCAATCTGCTATAAAACTGCAGAGAGAAGCAGCATTGCCTTACCACATCTTCTGACTCACAGAATAAGAGACAAACCAGTTTTGAAAGTAAAAAAAAAAAAAAAAAAAAGGATTCTGGCACACTGAGTCCAGACCAGGTAGGCACAGAGAAGTGAATTATTAGGAAGCAGCCCAAAGTTCTCAGCACAGCCAATCAGGTTACCTAGAGCATCTGAGAAAATAACAATTTTAAACTGTTCGTATTGTGGGGAAATATAGGTTTGAAGACAGCTGGATTTCAGTCTTTGCAGCTAGCACATGGTAAGATTTAACTGAATACTCAAAAATGCCTTTATCCAAGTCTAATCAAAGATGATTGGATTAAAGATTGTTATTCATTTTCTAGTCATTTTCACCAATAAAAAAACACATTACAGAATAAATTTACCATCACACTTCAATAGCTAACTTGCCAGTCCAGTTTGAAACCAGAAAACTTGAACTGAAGATTTATTTGAACTTGGAGAACTGTGTGTACTTTTTCCCATTATTAGAATGCAATTCAGACATGTTGGCATAGAATGGATGAGATTGCAGTGAGGTGAAATGGGATAAATAACAGTAACAAACTGTTCATGTTCATTCGCATATTTAGGGTTTTCTGCCGTTCTGCAATTTTAAATGGGGAATTTCTTTTAAAACATGTCTTTTGCCATTTACTGAAATGTATTACAAAGGAATTGGCAACATCAACAAGTATTTCGGTCTTGTTTCTGCCAACATTGCTCTCTACCAACTCATTCCTTATCTTCCAAAAAGATAATTGAATCAGTCCCAGAAAACAGTAAATACTGTTTACGGTCATTACTGATGTTAACAATTTAGTTAATGTAAATTAAAACAGTCATGTTTCCATATAGCAACATACATTGGTTGTGCAGATTTGTTTTATTTTAAAAAATCATGGACATTGACATAGCCCTACATTTAGATATCTGTTGCAAAACTTTCTTCAGTGCGGTGTTATTTCCATGTTTCATATGGAGATGGATGGAGAAAGACAGCTGAAGTTGTATAAGAACTATGCTGATCCTACTTAGAGCTTGAAACAACAGCATCGTTTTTTAACGGCGAAAGAAAAAATTATGAGACCAACAGAACTGACTGAATAAACCGAAGATCATATCGTACTGTTTAATACAAACAGTATGGAGCATGTATATGCCATCATTACTTACATGATGTAACAGGTGATATTAAACTTTTTTGTTGTTTAAGTCAGAGGAAGATTGCAAATAAGCTAAATTATTCTTGAAAGCCAAACCTAGAGCAGCATCTACATGAAACTGTCATAGCAGCCCCCAGCTTTGGCAAGAAACTGTAAAGAAGTGTTCAACACTCGGTTTTATCTGTCCACTACTGCTACATGTACTTAAATTTTATTAAGATGCAAATGCTATTTATTAATATTGCTCTGATCATGGATTAGCAGCTTCAACCATTTAGATTTAGTAAGCATAACGCAGTGTTGACCGAGTGATCTGCAGAGCTAGAAATAAGTCACATAGCTGAGAACCTTAAAAAAATCGAAACCTATAATGGACAAAGACATCTCCAACTACAACCAGTTCTGCTCTCAGGCTTCCTTGAATGTGCACCCACTGGGGAAACATCTGCCAACATTAATTAACACAAATTAAAACTAGGTCATGAATCCAAAGAAGCCTCCAGCAATTCAGGATATCTAGTATCCAAAAATTACTTAAATTTCACTTTTTGTAAGTAACTTTGTCAGAGAATTAACCATTTCAATAAAAGTGTTAATAATCCATTACTAGCCTTGGTTTTAGAAGGAAAAATAAACCATGTACTAAGAATGGAAAAATGCATTTCAGTCCTTTTATCTTATGATTATATTGCTCACTGCAGCTTATCACATTCTTCACTTTCTCAGCCATAGTATTTAGGATGTGAGAATCATGGCATGCAACATCCATAAAGTTTGTGGAGAAAGTATGTGAAATTGAACAGCCATGTTTACTGGATATGAAATGCCAGTGCTATACTGAAAACTGTCAGTACATAAAACTGTTTAACTACACATAAAAAATATATATATATATATATATATGTATGTATGTATCTGTGAAGATCTTACCTGCAGCATATTATATCTTTCTGGTCATTCATGTTCCAAATGAAGCAACTGTTTAAAAAAATCAGAGGTGTGACCACAAAATGAAGAGCTTTTCTAAGATATTTCCAGACCGTGTCTTGTTTAATCTAGTGAGAATAAGACTGAGAAAAAATATAGCTGGTGTTTATAAATATCTATGGTAGCATTACACTGATATAAATTATCTAAACATAAGAATGTTGATAAAACTAAAGTTGATGTTTCCTACTCATTATTAATGTTAAAAAATATTTTAAAAACCATCAGAGGATACCGCAAAACAAGGCCTTTCAATAAGATTGCATTTCTTCCAGGGCTGCCTGTGATGTGACAGGAGGGGCCCAAACTCCATTACCAAAACTTACTGATCTTCTGAGAGTTTGTCACTACAGTTAAGTATGCGTATTTTGGCTTTGACACATAAAAAACATCAACTAGTAAAACCATCCTCCGAAAGTCCATACAGCAGCAATAAACTCACTTTGCATGCTGACTTCAATGTTGCAGTTGTGACTCGATAGGGAGCAGAAAGGGATCCCAGAGATTTTTATCCTACTTGCATTACTTTTAAAATCAGTTTGTTGGTATATGAGGAAAATAAAAATACATGGTGTTCCTGGATTGCTCTAAGAAGTGGTTGCAGGTCCTTATTACACTTGGCCACAGCTTTTCTGGCAAGGGCTGCTTCTCACTGAACCTGGTTTATCAACCTTTCTTTGGATACAAATACAAGCAGTTGAGACACTTTTTTGGAGCGTGCCATAAAGTACTTATTCAGGGAAATGCTATATAGTATTCCAGGAGCTGGCTGGGTAGGGATTGTTGTATTTTTAATTACATAGGGCAGCACAAGTGTGAAGATGATAATTTGTCAAGAATGACTAACAAGACAGTTACTGTATAGCTCCTCCCCTGGGTAGCCAGTAATTCCAGGGGAACAAAAGAAGCACAGGATAGTTACACCTTCTAGACCCAAGGGGAGCAACAGCAGACCTCTCCTTTCACTCTTTAAATAATGAAACAATTGGAGGAGCCTGAAGGAAACAAATCGTGCCAATAGTTTATTGCTGAGCAATTTGACAAATGAAAAGCTGAGATTCTGTATTTCATGAGGAGATTAGTACTGCTATTTGCCCCATTTGCATGCCAAACTAAGTGAATATATGAATATCCTGGTTCTATAGGATTTGTTCGGTAAGCACTATATTAAGAACTATTAAATGTCAGCTGCAAAGGAGGACTAGCATTTACTGACTGGAAAAATTGTTTCTTAATGTTATTTACAGTAGCATGTCCATGTCTCATTTTTTAGTTATAGCATATGAATTCAAGTGCACAGTTTTACCTTGAATCATAGGGGTAAAAGCTATTCTACCCCCCAAAGTATGTCATCAGTGAGTCAGACTAGCACAGAACATGCACATACTAGAAAGGAATAGATTGCATTTAGGTTTGTCAAGTTGTCTAGTGACCTCCAGAACTTCTTAGAAGCTTCATCAACTATATAAATTAATAAAGGGGGCCAGGTGTCAACATAAGAGCTGTCATAACCACTATGACTTGGAGCTCTGTAAGTGGATCCCTACGGGACTGATACTGTTGTAGTCAGGGAATGCAACTAGATCTGACAAGTGAGTGCTTCTCCAACAGAGCGTGCTTTTCAAATGCAAGACTGACCATACTTCTGTTCTCCACAATCATTCGAGCATAGTGTCTTTCCCTTCCATTGTGGCCTCCATTCCTTCTGCCATCTGATACTACAGATACGATTCAGTCACGAACATCATTCTCTCAAACCCTTGTCTAAGAAGAACTTCCTACTGGATAATCCTGTCAGCCAGACACACACATCATCACCAAGTATGCAAGTACCTAAAGCAGCACAGTAACAATCTGTCATGACAGGATGAGACACGTTATTAACCAGTCTGGCACTTTTTAGAATCAGTCAGTTGTCCATGAACAGAGCAAAGCCCTTACAAAGGCTACAAACTTCACTCCTTTAGCTCAGTAGCACCTGATATACAGTTCCTAGAATCACATTTTAGGCCTGCATCATCACATTAGTGAGACCAAGTCATTGAGGAGTGGCAAAAGCATCATAAGGGCTTAGAGATCTGGAGTTTTCCAAGACTAAAATATTTTGAGACTCAAGGGTTATAGGGTAAAAATAAAAAAAAAAGAAAAGCTATAAATATGTCTAGGATCATACAGACTTAACTAAAAGCCAAGGAAATAAGGTTTGGAAACCATTATTGTCTTCCTCTCTCAACAAAAACTAAATGTCAGCAAGTTGCACGAAGTACATCTAAAAAAAAAAAAATTATTAACACAAAGCATGACTTATTAACAGGGGAAGTTTAGTTTATGCAAGCACACAGCTAGTGGCACCTACCAGGAAGTAGAACTGATTCTTAGCCAAATACAACTCCCTTTCTAGGCTGCTGATTTATTCTGGAACAGGCCCTCAAAAAAAAAAAATAATAAAAAAAAAATCCACAACTAGTAGCAAATTATCCAGTCAAGACATTGGTCTCCTCCAGTCTCCAAGCAAATCTATGCAAGGTCAAGAATTTCATGGCAAGCTGATACCTGTGCACAGCTTACTCAGGGTCTTAAGCCAGCTACAGACTTTCTTCACCCATGCTTTGGCTCTTAGCACTGAAGGTACAACTGGTCCAAGAGCTTGATTCATTTACAGCACTATGCATCAGCCTGATGGATGCCTCCTCCCTATGCTTGGACTGTTGAGAATCAGACATGGATACTGTTTTGAGCATTTACTAAAACTATCACATCTGAGAATCAGAACACTGATAATCTTATCTGACTGATCATAGTGATACATACTGCTCATCTTCAGCACTGTTTGTGAGGTTGGGACTAAAGGTCACAGTAAAAATAGGGGTGAATACTAAAAGAGGTCATACAAATGAAGAGAAAGCTTCCACCCTGTGAAAAGGCAAATGGAAGTGAGTACATACAAAGTTACAAGAAGATGGTGGTTAAGAACAACCGTGGAGACTGAACCCCAGTTCAACAGTCTGATACTTCCATAACAAAGTAAACAGGTCAGAACTCAAAACCAACCCAAAACTGCATTTGTTCAACACACCACAAACAGGCTTCAACAAGTTTCCAGCATAGATAATAAAAGAAAGGTGCAGTGGAAGAGTGGAATACTAATATCCTCATGATATCAGAAAGCCTGCTCTGGAGCAGAGCACCACTGCATGGCATACAGGAGAAATGGTTGTAATGTAGCTTGCCCTTCTCTTCCAACAGCTTGAGGTTATTCTAAAGGATGATGTTGGGGAGATTAAAAAAAGTGTTCTTTAGAAGTAGAGGTTAACATAGACTTATTGAATGAACTCCAAAGTAGTCAGATGGCTTTTACTTTCTATGGCATTTAAACAACCTTCAGAAGATCAAAACATCCTTCTCATCCCAACTTCATGAATGTCCTTTTATTTCCATGTATTTCAGTAGTTATATAGTAGGTGACTTGAGTATTTGCTTCCTTCTCCCAAGCAATCTTTATTAAATAAAGTGTTTAAAACATAGCTTTTAAGCACATTTTTTGATTAGAAAAATATTATTTTTTTGTGAATCCTAGATAGATATTAATGCTCCTTCTCATATTTTGAAGTAATTCCACATGCTATTTTCTGAAACATATAGTTTGTTACCTTTCCATAAGAAAAGAAATACAAGCATTTCATACCAGTCCTAAAGTTCTGTATTTTAAGCATGAAAACAGTTGGAAAAGTTTAGTTTGCTATACATATATATATATACACCTCTAAATACACAATATACTGCAATTCCTCAATTTAACACTACTCCTCTTACCTGAATATGGTTACAAAAAAATAGTTCTAGTTGCTGGGTTTTTTTGGTGTTTTTTTTTTTTTTTAAACAAGTTGAACTATGGTTACAAGATCCTGGATTACAAAATGCTCAATCCATTAACTTTTAAACTGACAAACAGGTATTTTAGGATGATATGCTTTTGAAGTCATGTAGCTTATAGCATCTGCCATCATAACAAGAGATAAGCGAAAGTTAAAAACCAACTTTACACTTTTTACTTAAAAACCACATAAGAAATGCAACGCGGAACATATTGAAATGGGAATTTTTTGAACAAACAATAATATATAGTGTTAACAATATGCATAAGCACTAAGCAGCAAATTTTATCCCTTTGTGATACTGCTCCAGCAATTGTTAAGCTCCTTGTAGGTTTAGGACTACAACTGACACTGTATGAAGAGATATGCAGTTGAAAAATTGACTCGAACAGTATCTCCTAAAAGTTCTATTCCTTTGAGTAACAGAAAATGGGATTCTTGTGCTCATTACAAAGTTATTGTAAATTAAATCCCAACTTCTGTATGATTTACTTTCCTGCAGAAAATCACATATATGAAGATAACACTGCTATTTAAGTTACCTAACAGAGCAGGTAACTACTAAATTTCCACAGGCAAAAAGCTGGCAGCAAATCTTATGTATTTTCTTATGAAGAAAAAAAACAACCCCAAACCAAAAAACCCCTTTGAAATTGTTGTTAAAGCACTGTAATATGGTTTTAAACTCAAGTAATAAAGCACGCCCACAAGGCATTTCTTTCACCAAAATCATGCCACAATCAAGGGAACCAGCCCTATTACTGTATTATAAAACTAGACTATTACAGAGGGCTCTCCATTTCGCTATGCACCTTGTGACTCCAAAGACAAGTAAGTCATATTTGTATTCAAAAAAGACTCAACTCAAGCATATGAAAGTTCATGGACAACCCCCATCCCACTTTGTGTCTTAAACTTTCCTTTAGCTGGGACCTGGGCTTTTCCTTCTTCTTCATGGGAGTATGGTTCAGCCTTTGAAAATGAATACTTGAGATCAGCATGATCTATAAATACTTGTACTAGCCAAATGCTTTCAGTGTGCATCTTTCCACTCAAGCATATACCTACTCCCCAGGGATTCAAGCTGTCACATCAGTACCACCCATCTTTGGGCTAAGCCACATTTGCAGAACATGGCCCATACCACCGCCTAGTGAAAAGTACTAAGTCCAAGTTCACAGAATCATTTAGGTTGGAAGGAACCTCTTGGGATCATGTAGTCCAAGACCCCCGCTCAAACACAGTCAGCTAGAGCAGGCTGTCTGAGGCCATGCCCAGTCAGGTTTTGAGTATCTCCAGGAATAGTGACTCCTCAGCCTCTCTGAGCAACCAGTTCCAGAGTCTGACCACCCTCACAATAAAAAGGTGTTTCCTTCTGTTCAAATGGAATCCCTGTCTTTTAACTTGTGTCCACTGCCTTTTAGTCCTGTCACTGAGAGCCACTGGGAATAGGCTGGCTCTCCCATCTTCACTCATTCCCATCAGGTGATAATGCAGTGGTAAGATTCCACCTTAAGCCTTTTCTTCCCCAGACTGAAGAGCTCCAGCTCTCTCAGACCCTCATACACTGCCCTGTGCTAGACCCACTCCAGCAAATTTGTATCTTTCCTGCACTGGGGAGCCTAGAACTGGACACAGTACTTCAGATGCATCCTCATCAGTGCTGAGGGTAGGGAAGAAGGATCATCCCTCTCAGCCTGCTAGCAAAGCTTTGGCCTTTGTTGCCACAAGGGTGCATTGCTGGCTCACCGTCAGTTTGTCCATCAGGACCCCAAGGTGTTGGGGGTGCAAAGCTGCTTTCCAGCCAGTCAGCTCCCAGGGTGGACTAGTGCCTTGAGTTATTCCTCAGGGAGCAAGACTTTGCATTCCCCTTTGTTGGAACTTTGTGAGAATCCTCTGTCCAGTTCTCCAACCTGCGGAGGTCCCTTTGAAAGGCAGTACATCATCTGGTGTTACCAGCTACTCCTCCCAGTTTTATATGATTTGTAAACCTGCTGAGGATGCACTCCATCCCATAACCCAGGTCATTAACGAAGATGTTGAATAATTATGGCCCCAGCATTGAGCCATAGGGTATACCACTGACTTGCTTCCAATTGGACTCTGTGCCACTGATCATACCTTCCTATGCCCACTCATTTGGCAAGTTTTTAATCCACCTCACTTTCCACTTATTTAACCTGTACTTTATCAGTCTGTCTACTAAAGTCAAGGTAAACAACATGGACTTTTCTGTCATCCACAAAGCTAGTTATCTCACCTTAGAAGGCAATGAGGTTGGTCAAGCACAATTTCCCCTTTGTAAATGTACGCCAACTACTCCTGATCACCTTCTCTTTCATGTGTGTGGCAATGCTTTCTAGGAGGATTTTCTCCATCACCTTCCCAAGGATTGAGGTGAAGCTGTAGCTCCCCAAATCCTCTTTCTTGGTTTTCTTGAAGGTACGAGGGATATTTGCTCTTTTACAGTCTACCAGAACATCTCCCAGTCTCCAGGACCATTCAAGATAATTAAGAGTAGTCTTGCAATGGCATCAGCTAGCTCCCTCAACACTTTGGGGTGCAATCTGTCAGGCTCACAGACTTCAAGTTTAAGTGCACCCTAATCTGGTCCTCCACCACCGAGGTTCTAGACCTCCCCTCTGATTTCAGGGGCCTTGAATTCCTCAAGGCTTGTTTTACTGGTAGAGACTGATGTAAAGAAGGCACTAAGTACCTCAGCCCTTCTCCATGACATTTGCCACCAGCCTCCCCTCCCCATTTGACAGCAGGCCCACCATTTGCTGTTTATGTACTTATAGAATCGCTTCTTGCTGTTCTGCCTGAAGGCTGTCCTACAGCAAACAGCTACTCTTGCTCCCCAAACCACATGCCCTTTGCTAGACTCACAATGCAGTCCTCACACCTTCTGGGGCAATAAAGAAAATGCTTTCATTTCACTGGGGGTGGTTCAAGAGTCCAAGCTGATTTTCCCAATCTATGCTTTGAGCAGTGGAAGGCAACATATCAAAATGATAACTTTAATGTTTTGCTCTTCAAAATATTTATATATTTGTGTATTTCTACTACTATTTCCAATTTCTGTATAAATGGGTAATATTATAGATAGGGTAGGGATATAAGAAATAAAGTACTTGGAGGCTCAAGTACTGTACCAGAAATATGTGCTAACTTGTAAAAATGACTACATTTTACATTAGGCAAAATAATGAATAAACTTTTCTGATTAGGAAGATGTAAAATAAAATGAGTGGTTTGCTCTGTAAATTTTACTGCAGAAGTCACTTATATGACTTGTACTTAACCCTTTTCTTCTCATGCAGCATTATTTCCCCCCCACCCATCCCACAAAACAAACAAAAAAAAGAACCCAACAAATATTCCACTAGTTGTTACAGATTGCACTTTTAAAGCACAGACTTGCCAGTCTTCTGCATTTCCAGTGTCCTATTTAAACAGTTGACATACACAGTCTTCATTTTATGAAACTGGAAGATTTCGCCTAAGTACTTCTTTTGATGCTGGAGAAATGTTATCTGGGAAAATTACTTCAAACTCTATAATTAAGTCTCCACGTTGGTCAGGATTTTTGGGAAATGGCAAACCATATCCTATAATTCTTCTTCTCATCCCAGGCTTTACAACTTCATTTACTGTCATGGGTATGGTTCTTCCTTCTATCGTTGGCACATTGATCGAGCTGCCACACAAAGCCTAAAGAAAGATGGTATGAGAAAAAGAAATTGGTCAGAACTTTATTTATACCTACAACTGAAATTGGATTATTTAGAAAAGAGTAGTATTCTAAACAGTATTTTCACTGTGCACTAAGATGTCAAAATTCAAATACAGTGTTCCTCTCTTAAAAAGTGAAGGCTTCAATTTGTCATTAAATATCACAGAATTTACCAGTCTTACACAATGGCCACTGCAGGGTAACTGTACTTATATAGCCTGCAAATACTTTACCAAATAATAGGGTAGTTGAGCACAGAAGGAACTCTTCACTCATACTTCTCTAGAGATGTCCAGCTTCTCAGTTTGCGTTGGAAATTGAGTCCTGTTCCATTTTTTGTTTGTGTACATTGCACAGGAGTTTACTATAATACTCTATCAACCTATATTACATCAAATTGCCGAACAACATTTAAGTGTCTATAAACAGAGGTGTACGAAATTACGCAGCCATCTTAGGTGAGCACTGTGATGCTCAAAGAAGAGCAAACAACTATTTTGGTGCACCAAAATCAAAACATTACAGACTTTCTCCTGCTTTATCCAATAGTTTGTTTTCATTACTAGGATCTCTGATAATAACATTTTGATTCCTCCAGCTTCACCTCATTCAGCACACTTACTCTACACTGACAATGCCCAATTTACATAACAATGCAATGAGTCTAAATTGGCTTTTATCTATGTAGGAACTATATTACTCACATCAACATTAAATACTGTCTTTTCTCCCTCCCTCATCCTATTTCATGCACTTCAGCTCACTTCAGATGCATTTTTAGTTTTTCAGTTAAGAACCCTTGAAGGAGTGAGCTCGTAATGTACACAAAGAACTTATAATGCAAGCAAGAGTTTATTTCTCCACCTTATGCTAATTCAGAAGAAAAAAAAAATCACATGAGACTCAGATACATTATCTTTTAAATTATGACCACGTCATGGCTTCAGACCCTTAAGAACTCTACTCAGTTGTCATTCTGATTTTTCATTTCGAAAGCCAATGTGTTTTGACTTGGAATGGAATTTTTAAAAGCTGTACCATTTTTGTTGTTATATATAGCTCCTATAACACCTGTTCACTATAATTTATCCTCATGAAATCAATCTCTATGTACTTTGAAATCATACTGAAATAACTTATGACATAAAAAGGCAAAATTTGTTGGCAGTCAAAATATTTAAGACATTTCTACTCTGTCCTACAGAAGTAAGTAATCATATCCCAGCAGTAAGGAGCATACTATATTAGATGTATTTGTTAACTGTATTTTGTTTCTTAGTTCAGACTAATATATATTTAGCTAGAAACACAGAGTATGAAGATTTAAAGACATATCAACCTTTATTCTTACCCTTCTACCCTCATTCTCTCCCACCTCTATAGTAAACAGATTGAAATAATATTCAATTTTTATCAAAACAGCTATTGTTCTGTAAATAACTGTGTTCTGCAGCAACGTTAACTTTACAAGTGAAACTTTAAAAAAAAAAAACCACCACCAAAACTTTACTGCTGCCATACAGTTTATGCAGCATAGTCATTGCATTATATTATAACAGGTTTAAACATTTAGAGTTCTACCAAAAGAGAAACTTACCTCCCTTAAACTGATCTTAACAGGATAGATAATATTTGATCCATCTCTCTTGAAGTGAGAGTGAGGTTTATCTTTAATGATAAAAACAATATCAGCTGGAATGGTGTTGGGTGTTTCATCACCTTCTTTTGGAAAAGTGATTTTGGTGCCTTCTTTCCATCCTCTTTTTATCTCAATCGTAAGAATTTTGTCCTCTGTTCGGACACTTCTACCATCTGGGTTAAGCCTTTTACGTGAAATCCTCATCCTTTTTGTGCAGCCATGATAGATCTCTTCCAAAGACACTTTAAGTTCATGGATTACAGGGGGATCTTGTTTACGACGTAACTGGCTACCAACTGTATTCCTTTCCCTTGGAAAACCATTCATACTAAAACTAGTGAAGGATCCAAATGGATCACCATCCACCTCCATGTCTTCAGTGTCTCTGCCACCAGGCATCCTCCTTCCAAAGAAGATCTCAAAAGGATTTGTGCCACCAAAAAAGGCTGCAAATGTAGCATGTGGGTCGCCATGGAAAGAGTACCGGAAGGTACCACCCTGTCCATCAGGTCCTCCAGCTCCTCCTTTCAGACCTAAATAAGACAAATAAGAAAAATTAAAAATAAATCAAATATTACTATAAGCTTTCCTATTGTAGAGTGCAGTGATATGAGTTGAAAAGGTCTTTGCAGTAGTGAAAGGTTGCCTTTTCTATGAGAACTCACCATCAGACTCTGTAGTACCAACTAGTAATTCAATAGCTTGAACAGCAACAAAGTTTAAGTTCTAGAATGACAGGCTTGGGAAGAACAAGTATTCTGACAGTGCCAATTTTATTTCATATGATTGAAGCCAGTGATTCAAAGAACTAGCATCTTAAAACAGAAGACAGGTCTGCCTGACTTAATTTTCCTCTTGTTCTACAAAGCTCTGTTGGGAGCTGCATCCCTCTCCAAGATCACTTCTAGGGAAAATTATGCAGTATCACATGCAACATTTTCTATAGCCTCCATAGCTCAGCTTTAATGCAGTGTTAATTAGCTTGACCTCTGTTTTCCTGAAATTCAGTTTGAGTAAAATGTAACATGCCAGTAGTCAAGCAGCCATATGCTTCCTTAATGTTTATTATAGAATCCCAAACTTATCACAGCTGGTGTTCCTATGATATAAAATAGGTAAGAAATCTGGGAACTCTTTTCAACGCAGCCACAAAAAATAGCTCGGAAGTTCCTGAGATCCATTTGGGTAAAAAGAGATACCAGTACAGCTGCTATCCTACCTCCATAGCCATAAAAATGTGAAGGCTTACATTAATGAAGCATACACTCTCTAAATTTGAAAGAGGGGTTTTGCTGTGTTTTGTTTTTGCAGGTTTTTTGGCTCAGAGTTTTAAACCTCCTATGCATAAGCTTAATACATACAGTAACCAAGTAAAACATTAGAATGAAACTGTGTTCCCCATCTCAATACCAGATCATATTAAAAGTTCTTAGCAACATGTAGTTCATCCTTCTGTCACAGAACTGTTAATGTCAAACAAGCAGATCAGTGGATTCAATCTGTGATAGTAGAAAGACACCTCCAGGAAGAACTAGCCAAAAGTTACTGAAGGTACATCAAGTTCCCGGCTGTAGAAACACTGAGGTTTCCTCCCCCCCCGCCCAAGCCTTCCCCCTACGACTACTAGCTCAGATAGCAATTGAGGAATCAGGAGGTATTTCCAGATTCACCATTCGAAAAGTTCATACTTTGGTTTCATGTTATGCCCAAATAAACAGAAATCTACATTTTGAACCCCTGTCCAAGTATGCAGTACTAGGATGCCAAAGGCTGCACTGCTTTACATGCTTTACTTCAAGCTCTTTGGTAGAAGTGACTAAAACGGTATTTTGGGAAAGTAGTTAGGATGAGCTGCCACACAGGAATCTAAAATGCAAATGAACCCACAGAGTAAATAGGTTTATAATGATATACAGAAAGGAGGCAGGGGGTGAGAAGGAAGAAGTGCAAGAAGGCAAAAGACCCAAGAGGCAAAAAGGCCTGTGGTATCTACATAAACACTAGAATGTTTCAGTAACACCACTAAAGCTTTGAACACTTTGAAACAGAAGACCAAAAAAACTGCATCCTTTGTAGAAGCTGAAGGTCTTTTACATGAATTTATGGACGTTAACAATTGTACTAAGTCCTATAGATGACAGAGGACCAAATTTTATTATGCATAGCAACACAATTTCCTCTAAAGTACTGCTATTTAAGTATCCTCCTTTATATTAGTAAAAAACATGGCCCTGAGTGAATGGCAATGAATAAGTGGACCTACTTATCACAACAGAAGTAGTTATTTCTTCTGAAATTTCTGATACCATACATTTAAGGGGAGGGATGTTAATGACTTCCTCTGTTGCTCAATCATAAGACTGAAAGTCAAATTGGTCAAAAATAAAAAGTCATCCTCTCCAGATAACCATTTTAGGATAAATATGACATTTCTGTGGCCTCATTCTCTTGGCATGTTATCACTGTTTACAATTAAAGCTAAAAAATTGTTCTGGTATTTCATGACATCAGCCAAATTCTTTCCTCTCCAGGCAAGAAGCCAAGGACAACTATGGACTGGACACCTGGGCTTCTGCTCAGAAGGACTGCCCTGCCTAGATCAAGCAGACTGCCCTTCAGCAAAAATTTACGAAGGAATACATCTCTTTTCAACTAGCCCTCAGAAAAGTGCTATGACAAGGGAAGACATCAGTTAGAGATTCAAGAAAGTTATTTATGGGTCATACAAACTTTTTAAATTCAGTAACTATTTGCCTGTCCAGTATTTGGGATTTTTAGAAAACATGAAAACACATTAAACTAAGAAATTAAAACTAGATCAACATTAAAACTCTGCAATACAGTTTACATTTAAAAAGCCATTGAGTCAAATTTCCAAGCAGTACAAATACATTGCCTAAAAATCAACACGTATCATGTTGTTTTCATGAATCATCTATGTTTATTTTGCTTCATTAAACATAATGAAAGTGACCGATCAGAGTATAATAGAGACATACATACCTTCCTCCCCAAACTGATCATAAATGTCTCTCTTTTTGGGATCACTCAGCACTTCATAAGCTTCTGCAATCTCTTTGAATTTTTCCTCTGCGTGGGGAGATTTGTTCTTATCTGGATGCCATTTAAGTGCTTGTTTTCTGTAAGCCTTTTTGATATCCTCTTCAGAAGCCCCTTTTTCAATTCCCAGGATAGAATAATAATCTTTCCCCATCCTGAGTGTTGGAGGAATTCAGATCTCCCTTGCTTTAAAGAAAGCAGTGTCCAGTGTCTTAGCAACGTAGAGATGCTAGAGAAGGGAAAATAAAAATCAAATTTGGATTTGAAACAAACAACTGTTACAAATCAACAAAGTCTCCGATACATTAAAGAAACACTAGACAGCTTCTCTGTACTTCATTCCTTCCTCTGTTGCTCATTTATAAATAATTATAAACACTGGACAAGACACAGCCCTCTTTAAAGTCCTCCCATCTACAGTACGCTTCTCCGCTCTTTCTAGAACGACAAATAATACAGGACGTCACTTCCCCGACTGCCCCAGCTGAATAGCCTGCACAGCTTTCACTCTCTCACACACACGCATGCGTGCACGCACATACACACACACACACACACACACACACAAAATGCTGAATTTCTATTTCCTCCCTTCTCAAGCAACCAGAAAGTTTAAAGGTTTAATAGCATGATATATTGCCTTTCACCACCAGGGCTAAATCCAGTCAGCTCTAAAGACATAACTGCCCCTACAGAAATGCAGTCATCCATATAAAATAATTACAGCATTTTACTTCACAGTTTCTATAGAGACAGCTGTACATGTAACTGTTTTCTAAATATATCAACATGGATTTGTACCCTTTCCAGCAGAGACTACAAAGTATTTTATACCCAAATTAACTACAAAGCTTAAAAAAATAATCACACATTCATTGCTTTGAAAATGAAATTAACCCACCAACCACCACAGTTGACTGCAGCCATGTACTACTAAGCTATTAAGAAATCAAATCTGAGCAAAAAGTACCACTCAGTTTACCACATCTCAAGCCACTCAAAGCAGACCAAAAGTGTTACCCCCTGCCCCGGCCTCCTTCTACACAAGAGGCAATATCAAGACTATTATACAAGTACAGAATATATCAAACAAATGTCTTTCATATGATGAGATGTTAGTAACAAAAATACCTGGTTCCTACACATCTGTTTTACAAAGTGTAAATTTTAATAAAGTATTTCTCATGCACTGCAGAGGGAATAGTATGAAGTTTCAGCCTGCAAGATTTCTTTTGGATCTTGGCTAAGAGCTATAGATCAAGAAATTACCTCTATTTGTCATTACGGCAAAAAGCTTCAAGACTGCAGAGCTTGAAAAATAACTCCTCCCTGGAATAAAGTATTAAATAACACCAGTTTTGGTCATATCTAGAAGCTACCTGTATGAATACATTTCTAGGCTCAATTATGAAGTTACTTGTATGAAGATAATTAGGCTCAACTGCCTTCCTTCTAATGGTAAAGAGTTTAAGAAAGGCAGCCTACAGTAGCCAAGGGACCATTAAACTCAAGTGAAGAACACTAACCTTCTGATTCAGGGAGCATTATATTTGAAACTGCTTTCCAGACCCTGCTCTAACTTAAAAGGGGGCTAATCAGAAGAGACAGAAAATTTCTCCTTAACCAGACAGTACTGGAAAAAGAGATTTGGGGCCTTTTTTTTTTTTTTTTTTTTTAATGTGTCACCCCCCTATACTTCACATCATATCCTTTTCCAATTTCTGCAATAGAATTGACTAGATTTTGTCAATTTTTTTTTTTTTTGCAGGCCTGTAGTTACTATTTAAAATGTAACAGAGATCAAAGAGTACTGAAAGAAGGAATCAGCCCCCCTTGACACCAAAACCTTCAGGACTTACTTGCATTTTGGGAAAACTTTGATTCTTTAACCTTGTAGATCCATTACCTTTACAGCTGAAGGAGGAAGCAGTTGCTGAGCTCCACATGGAGTAAAGCTAGTCTTTTACTAACCACACAATTCTTTTTATCTTTCTTTAAAATGTGCTACTTTTGTTAATTTACGATTAGTATTTCAGAGAAATTCTTGTAGACCTGTATCCTAAATTCAGCACTTTTTCCACTAGGGAGTTCTCAAAGCAGTAGGTACAATAGTTTGAATTAAAACAAGATTTCAATTTATTTAATGTAAAATATAATACCACTCCCTAAGAACCTGCTTTACTTACATATGTTTTAGTGGGCAGTTTTAACCTTACTACACTCAAGAAATGGTTGCAAATAGGACAAATCACTATTCAAACCCAGCAGTGATGATACTCTGAACTAGAACAGCAAACAAACTTCATCACTATTGACAGAATAAGACTCAGAGCAGCCTTAAATTCTCTTGCAAAACTAGGCGTGCAAAGAGTTACACTCAGCTGTGCTCCTATGGTATGGTTTGAGCAACCTCTGGTGGGGTCATAACTTAAGTCACTGGAAGTATTCCCACCCATGAGTGTCTGAGAAGGACCCTATAATATTTGTGTCACTGTGTTGTCATATAATAGTCAGAAGAGCAATAGCTCAGACTAGTTTCTGAATTGTATTTTTCATTACATTTTCCAAAACCTGTGGTCAATCAAAGTGGCAGAGGGTGAGTATGCTAGTTTAAAAAACAAGGTATAAGATATCATTCTCTATGAGAATATTATATTAAACACTTATCCGTCCCTCTGAATACTGAAAGAATACTCAAGGAGTTGCAATTAGCAAGGCTTTGCACTCCCCCCCCCATTTTGTAAAACATACTAATTTCCCAGGTTTCAATAAAACACCCAATAGTCAGGATTTCTTTCTAAATCAAAAGTTTTTTACTCCCAAATATCAAAGCTTACAGAACAAATTCTGGTAACAACAAAAGTTCCCCTGGGACATTTTGCTGACAATCACAGTGAGTAAGTGTTCAGGCATCCGTTCTCTCCCTACAGAGGGGAACAGGCTATTCTGGCGTAAGTGCCAAGTTATACCCTAATTAGGTAAGTTATTCCCTAAAAATTAAATTACTTAAGATTCTGAGCGAGATGTACAGCAATGACTACATTACTTCTACTTCCTGCCCTGCACAAAATCTTCATGTCAGAATGAATTTCCAGTCTGGCATTCCATATCTTCAAAGAGTTGATAACTGGAGCTTCTCCTTCCAGAAAGCATGTTCCTTCTATTTCTCCATGCTTAGACCTTCCTTTTACCATATAATCAGAGATCTTTTGGAAATACTACAGTTCCTCACATGCTTATTGAGTTCTTTAAACAGTCTAATAGATTGAGAGATATGACTCTCAGATTTAGACAAAAAGTTTTTATTACTATTATTAAAAGACTAGTGTGCGCAAGATTAATATCTAGTGATCATGCTAATGATCATTTGGGTATATCCGATCATACCAGCACTTCTTCAGACAGTAAAACACATCTGGTAACCATGGTAAGTTTTTACAACTTCTGATCGAGTAGCAGAGCAGTTTCAAGGACAGATAGTAATGGCTGATAGATTTTTAGAACTCCAAAAATACGATTTTGCAATTCTTTATTGTTAATTTTGTTATTTTATCCCACATTCCTCTTCAGAAGTTATTAACCAAAGAAAGGAAAATCCATGCACTCTCTGCAACAAGGACTTGTGGCACTGCAGTCCCTTCAAATAAGCACAGATAAACAGAAAACAAAATATTTAGTGTTACTGCTATAGTCCTATCCTCCCTGTTGCCATATACACCTAAAAGCGGAAGTATTTTTAAAAACTATTCTAGACTATGAAAAGATTCCACTTTCAATATGTTTAAATAAGATTATTTTTTTGTTCAAATGCCTGAGTAAGTGTCCCCTACAAAAAACAGATAGGGTCATCACCTGGCATGTGACAGATGAACTAGTCTATGGGATTATTTTCTTCTTTACCCGTTTCTGCATTTCTACCTCAAGGTCGTCTTCTTTTGTAGTAGGACTTAGAAACACCACAGAGCATGTCAACTGTAAGCCCACTTCCAGGAATCCTTGCATTCAGTCACCTCTTACTTCAGAGATTAACACCTTCTGTCCAAGTATCACGAGGCATCCCCACTGTATACATACCTGCTCACACACTGCACTAACTGCAGCATACTGGGATGCATGCTCACCCTCTATTTTGACTTTTACCTTTTACTTAAAGGAAGAGCTGTTGGTGTGATTTGATTTGCTTCAGGAGCACCAACAGCACATAACCCAATAGATTCTATGTAGCCAAGGCTGGCCTCAGCTGTGACAAGGCTGCATAAGGGCAACCTGCAACTTAACTCAAACCTCTCAAGAGCAAGCCACTAAATTACGTATCTGTAAAATTAGTGAGGCCATAATCTAAGACTTTGAGAATGCTCCTGAATGAGTGCTAAGCAACTTCTCAGACAGACAAATCCAGTAATGCACTTGGTTGTGATGCCACATAAAAACCAACAGATGGATAGGAAAACCCACCATCAATTAGATACCTTTCTTCTTCATTCTACCACATCAACATTTCTGACTGATATTTCACATTATGAATAAATTAACCATCTATATCATCAGTTCTACACAGTCTTCAAATACAACAGCTGCATTCCATTTCAGGCATACAGAGAAAAAAGTTTTTATTATCACTGTAGCATCAAAATGGTGTCTATGAAGCTTTTGGTTATAGATGACCCTGTAAACCAATTTTCTGTCCAACTAGGCAGTCTCAGACGTGTTCTCCTGTTCTTATAAGCTACTATCTGGTACTCTTATTATGCACTGAGAAAGTTAACAGCCTGTATTTGTTCAGCACTTCTTTACATCAGCGTTACTTGTTATAGTCTGAATTAAAAAACAAATACAGAAATGGGAATTTCAGTTCAAGCTTTTTGAAGTTGACTGGGGAAAGAAATTGGTATATCTTTAACTGTAACAAATTACTAAAAAGCTGAATAGACAATTTATTAAAAAATCTTATTATATCTCAGGAAGACTGAATAAAATTTTTAAAAGCCATACTGAACTTGTCTAATATAAGCATACTCATCACCAGAGGATTTTCTATGTTCTTTGATAAAAAAGTGACATTCACTTTTTTAATACAAGATTTCCTTCTATAATATAAAAACATTTATAAAACACAGACTAGAAAGCTGCAAATTGTTCCTTTATCAGTTCACCTTCACTTTGGAGACCGAGTTTGACTACTCATATGCAGCATTCCACTTAAGTTAGTATTCCAGTGAAATAACTGTTGCTTTAAAATATCCTTCCCATTATTCTCCCTGAACAACCATAGTTTAACTCACATACATATGGATGCTACACGTCAGAAGTTTGGCAGAACAGTGGGAGCAAGGTCATATCACTTCCAGATAACAGATGCACTGATAATACTAATTTTGAATTATTTGCTTTCCTTAAAGAAGCCTTCGTAAGGACAACTGAAATAAATTAAGGAAGCATTCACAATAACAGGTACACTGAACTCAAATTCTAGTTTAATCATAAATTAGCACCAGTATAAGTTTCTTTTAAGGAAAAACTTCTAAGCAGAACAGTGTCATTCCCTGAAGTATCTGAAGTTGAATAAAAAAAGCTCATTAAATGGCCTTTAAATTAAACTCTTTCTTCTGCATTCTTCACCTATTAAACCTCAGAAACAAAACTGAAAGACCAGACTAGATCACCGAACAAGTTAAAGAGCAAACAAA